CATTACTCGTGGCGAAATAGATTTTATCCTACGCGCTTTTCGCGTGCCGCGGCACTTTTCGCGAACGCATCTTCCGCGTTGAACGAGGACTGCACACAAATCTGCAGCGTAAAGGGGGCGCCCCCTCGCGCTGGAGGTGAACCCTCACTGCTGGGCACGTGTCTCGGGACAGCGTCGAGGCCAGTCAAGAGTCGAGGCCGCACCGGCCGCACGAGTTGACGTGCGTCTCCCCCCCCCCCACCCCCCCCCCCCCCCCCCCCCACAGGTACAAGGACTACCGCGAGCCGCCCTGGTCGCCGAACGCCTACGAGTACACGCGCCAGTACTGGGCACTCCTTGCCGCGCGCCTCGGGTTCGTCATCCTGTTCCAGGTAGTGCGCACAAATGTCCCAGTGGGTGTGCATGTCTCCGTGTGCGCGAGTGTGTGGGTGTGCGTGTCTCCGTGGGCGCGAGTGTGTGGGTGCGAATGTCTGCGTGCGAGTGTGTGGGTGCACGTCTCCATGCTCCCATACAGTCAGGACACCGACGCGTCCCGATGGAGGTTCATTCGCCGCTTGTTGAAGACGTTCGCGGTTCGAATCGGACTACGGAACAACGCTTTGCCTTGGAGCTATCGCAGTCCCGTCTTCTCTCGCCTCTCTAAATGTGCCATGGAGCCCCTCCCTCCCCGTGCCGGCCAGTTCTGCCCGTGGACCCTGCAGGGTTCTGTTTATTTCCCTGCTTTCCACACGCGGTGGCGCATCGGTGGGGATCTACGGATGAGATCGCGCCGCTTGACAATTGGTCGCCGTGTTGCACCGCGCGGCGAGCAGAACCTGGTGATGTTCCTGAGCGACTTCGTCGACTGGCTCATCCCGGACGTGCCGCCTGCGCTCGCGCTGCAGATGAAGCGCGAGAAGGCGGTGCTGGTGCACGTGCTGCTGCGCGAGGAGGCGCACGCGCACGCCCGCCAACAGCAGCTGCACCAGAAGCTGCACCAGCAGCCGCAGCCGCCGCCCTCCTCGCAACAGCAACAGCAGCAGCAGTCGCAGCAGCAACAGCAGCAGCAGCCGCGGCAGCGATACCCCGAGCTTGACAAACCACCGGATCGGCCGCAGGAGGTGCCGTCCGCCCACGGCGCGCGCTCCTCGGAGGCGGCGACCGCGGCGGTGGCGAGGGGCGGCCCACCGTCGTCCGCGGACGGTGGACCCCCGGCCCACCCCCCCAGGGGCCCCGCGCCCACCACAGCCGCCGCCGCCGTGGGGGAGCCGGCCGCCTTCCCCTCCCGCCTGACGCGCCACGCGTCCCATCGGCCGTCGGGGGCCCGCGGCCCCGCCGCCGGGGGGGCCTCCCGGGCGAGTGTCGTGCGCAAGGGGGGGTCGGTGCGGGCAGCCCGGACCGCCGAGCCGGCGGGCGGGGCCGGCGGCGGCGGCGGCTCGCGGAGGCACTCGGAGTTCGTCTCGTGAGTCGCTGGTCCCCCCTGCACCCCCAGGACCCCCCCAACCGCCCCCCGACCCCCCCCCCCCCCTTGGCCGTCGAGATTTTGGACAAATATCAAACTGAGGAGGAAGAGGATCGGATGATGAGCCCAGAGCAGCGGCACGGCTACGTACGGTGCAAAAGAAGTTCAACCTACATGCGCGCGTGCGGCATGTAGCGGGGTCGCTTGTCCACGTGTGCGCGCACGAGGAATGTACCTGGAGCTACCTGTGCCTGGGGCTACTTGTACCTGGAGCTACCTGTGGCTGGAGCTACCTGTGCCCTAGGGCTACCTGTGGCTGGGGCTGTCCTGCTAACCTGTACCACTCGCGGCTGCTTGTTGGGGTGATTGTGGGTCCTGGTGATTGTGGGTCCTGCTGATTAGGCGGCTCGTGATTAGAGGGCTCGTGATTAGGGGGCCGGTGGTGCCAAGACCCACGAGAGCGAAAATGGCAGAGAGAGAAACACACTTGCACCTGTTAAAGTTGATGAAAGAACATGTCATTATTGTACGTTTCAGAGGAAATCGGTTTGGGGAAGGCGGCAGCTGGTGACTGGAATTAAACAAGTCCGTGTACTACCCAGTAACCATGTCCACGCTGCGCCAACGTCGGCATGTGGTTTGGAATCATTGGTGGCCAACGTTGGTCCCCAACGTCCCTTGAGTTACTGGGTGGCACCTGGTGAACGCGTGCCAGTGACCGCGCACGGACGTTCGCTGCCGAATGAACACAGCACTTAGCGCGTGAACACGGCAGACACAGCCTCGTCTCGTTCTGCCCAAGGGAGCAGACGCAGCGCCTCGGCCCCTTAGCCAGCTGTGAATGGCTGCACGTGCTCTAGAATTAAGTGATTATTTATTTAATTGATTAGTTAATTAATTGGAGCTGGCTGCCAGCTAATATCTGTCGAATGGGGAGCGGTAGTCCAGCGGTTAGCGCAACGCTGCGTTACAAACCCTGCAACCCAAGTTCGATTCCCGCTCACGGCCAACACCAGTGACGATTATCTGGACCGGTCCTGGGCCTCCTCGACGTCGACTCAGCCTCAAAAATGAGCACCTGGTGCGGTGTGTAAACATCGCCACTCGGGAGACAAAGGCAGCCTGGCGTGGTGCTGGCCACCCAATCCCTCGTGTGCCGTGCCAGCCTTCATAGGTGCTGCTCGCGCTGACAGCACTTGGGCCATCGAGCCCATAACGTGGCCTGTTCCAACATCCGTCCCCAAAGCGTGTGGAAGGAAGCGCGGCGCTCGCTCGCCGCTGGGTCCTCATGCAAATCACGATGTGTTTGTTCACGTTCTGTCCTTACCGCCGCAGTTTTGTTTCGCCGTATCTATGACCGTGGCGTTAGACGCGAGTCGAAAGCGCGGCACGTGAGCTGGTAGCTGCCCACGCACTCGCTGCGGTTGCGCTCTGCGGCAGCTGGCGAGGGGGGCAGCGCTGCGCTGTTTGCCCGATGCCCACGTGGGCTCAGTCAACAGCTGGGCACGCACGCACACAGCGACTTCCTCCAAGCGGCAGTTGAGATCAGGTGAATGAATGTCCTTCATTCAATAGCACAGGTGTGGGGGTGTGGGCCCAGGGAGATCGGGGCTGGGTTACTACAGCTCGAATCCTGGCCTGGGTGACCCCGCCAGACACCTGCTACCAGCCCCCTCAACTCCGAGCGGAGGACGTAACAAAAGTGTCGGTGGTCATTATTACAGACTGACACATGCGAGTGCGATTCCGCAGCTGAAAGGGAAAATATCCCCGCAAAGTTCGAATTCATGATGAACACCGGCAGTGATCGCCGTGCGGTCCGCATTGTGGCCGCTCACAGATTGCATGCGTGTTGAACTTCTTTCGCAACCTACGTAGCCGGCCGGACTCCTCGGAGGTTGCGGAGGAGGGAGAAGAAACGAAACACAAAAGAGCAGTTGTAAAGAAATGAGTGTTTGACCGAGATGATGATGATGATGATGATTTTAAAGTGCACAGCTCCAGTGGCTTCGTAATGTCGGAGGAGCGTTCCAGACGGCCGCAGGAGCGCATCTGTGTTCGACGGTTCGTCAAGAGCCGCCGCTGCGCTGTGAGGATGACGCCAGTTCGGGTGACGAGACCGGCAAGGTGCTGTGGTTCAATTGCGGCAAGCACGTCTATAAGGAATGCATTTGTTGTAAGATGTAGAGGAAACACTTGCTAATTGATTACTAATCTATTACATAATTACAATACCGCCCTTCCTCCGCCTCTGACCTCTGACCTCTGCACCTGATGGCTTCAGTGACGACCCCGTCCTGCTGCTGCTGCTCTCTGTAAGACCAGAAGCAGGTGGATTGCTGCTCGATTCTGGCAAATCGCCCGATGCCAATGGCTGACCTCCCGCATACCAGGCGAGGTAGTTAACAAATCGTTTGCAGTGAGTTGATTGGCAACCAGCTCCGGGACATGTCGCCATCACGCGCAAGAGTTACATTTCGACTTTCGGGGGGGGGGGGGGGAGGTTAAATTTGCCTCTGCGGCCCCTTCATGGGGGGTGTTGACAAAGAAAATTGATGACGATTGCGTTACAATCCGTTCGAGGTCTTCCGTGATGGTAATTGTTCTGCGACATGGACATCGCTCGTGGCTTCCTTCCACCCCTCGCATACACAACTCCGACTTGTCCTAGAGGGTGAGCGTGGTGAGCGTCGTGAGTGAGAGTGTGGTGAGAGTGAGTGTGGTGAAAGAGCGTGTGGTGAAAGAGCGTGGTGAGAGTGTGAGAGCGTGGTGAGAGTGAGTGTGGTGAGAGTGTGGTGAGTGTGAGAGCGTGGTGAGAGTGAGTGTGGTGAGAGAGCGTGGTGAGCGTCGTGAGTGAGAGTGTGGTGAGAGTGTGAGCGTGGTGAGAGTGAGTGTGGTGAGAGAGCGTGGTGAGAGTGTGAGAGCGTGGTGAGAGTGAGTGTGGTGAGAGTGAGAGCGTGGTGAGAGTGAGAGAGTGGTGAGCGTGGTGAGAGTGAGAGTGGTGAGGGTGAGAGAGAGTGAGAGTGTGAGGGTGGTGAGAGTGTGGTGAGCGTATGAGCGTGGTGAGAGTGAGTGTGGTGAGAGTGAGAGCGTGGTGAGAGTGAGAGAGTGGTGAGCGTGGTGAGAGTGAGTGTGGTCAGAGTGAGTGTGGTGAGGGTGAGAGTGTGAGGGTGGTGAGTGTGAGTGGTGAGCGTGGTAAGAGTGAGAGCGTATATCGTGTGGCGTGGTGCGAGTTTCGTCAAAAAGTGGAGCCGATCGTCGTCAAGTTCCTGAGTGGCGAATGTCCAACTGCGACCTCGGATGCCATAGCACGGGGAAGCCGCCCTCTGGTACCCCCCCCCCCCCAACCATGATGACCCCTCCCAACGCCACTCCAGACCCCACGGAATGTTCCATTTGCCTCCGGTGGGGGGGGGGGGCTCACGACGGCACGCTCCAGTTCACCCTCTCGAGCCCTCCTCTATTTATGCTTTTCCAAAGCTGTCTATTGACGAGAAATACACACACACACAGACACACGTGGTTTTCAAGCAGCGTCCATCGAGTCTCTTTTATTCGGTTAAAACGCGCGCGAGACGACTGCTGTGAAAGTGGAGCACCATTTGGGAGTGTCGCTTTATCAGGCACAGGAGTGAGTGGTGGAGTGGGTGGTAATAGAAGAGTGAGTGGTGGAGGAGGAGTGGTGGAGTGAGTGGTGGACTGAGTGAGTGAGTGAGTGGTGGAGTGAGTAAGTGGTAGAGGAGTGAGTGGTGCAGTGAGTGGTGGAGTGAGTGGTGGAGTGAGTGGTGGAGGAGTGAGTGTTGGAGTGAGTGGTGGAGTGAGTGGTGGAGGAGTGGGTGGTGGAGGAGTGGGTGGTGGAGGAGCGAGTGGTGGAGTGAGTGGTGGAGTGAGTGGTGGAGTGGGTGGTGGAGGAGTGAGTGGTGCAGGAGTGGGTGGTGGAGGAGTGAGTGGTAGAGGAGTGGGTGGTGCAGTGAGTGGTGGAGTGAGTGGTGGTGCAGTGAGTGGTGGAGTGGGTGGAGTCGATCGGTGCGGCACCGGTGAAGGAAGGGAGCATCGCTCACAAGACAACAAAGAGACACTTCACAACCTGAAATGAGTGCTTAGGGGCCGGGGTTAACTTCTAAACCGGGCCTGGAGTGCGCGATCCGTGGCCCAGTCGCCCACTGTGCGTGCCGGGCCCTCGCGGCTCGCTTCCCCTCGATGGCCGATTGATAATGGACGCGGGATGACTGCCATCAAACGTTGCAGTTGCCATGTAGAGTCCAGTGCACAACGAATTTGGCAAAAAAAGGTACAAGGAAGGGAAGGGGGTGCCGGGACGGACGTCCCCAAGACGGACGAACGAGGCCACGGCTCAAGATGAGCAGCGGGGAAGAATCAGAATCTTTCTGTAGGCTGCAGGAGGAATCCGATGAGCTATGAAGCTCTTTCACAGTTGTCCGGTAGGGGCACGGGCGGGGGGGGGGGGTGACAGGCGGGTCCAGCAAGTTACAGGAAGGGGAGGAGGAGGCGGGGGAGAAGGAATGGTCGGGCCAATATAAGAGGATGGGAAATCAATGGAAAAAGTGGACCAATTCGATCAACAGAGCGACCGGGCCAAGATGTCGGGCTGGTGGTGGTGGTGGGAGAGAGGGAAGAGATGCAAGGAAGGAGCGAGCTGCATGGAGTGGCGTCCGTTTCCACAGTGGGCGGGGAAAGGGGGAGGGATTCAGAGGGGGGGGGGGGGGTGTTGGCCACGCACAAGTCACGTGATTTAGGGGAGGCTTGAACTGATTTTGAAAGCGATATGAAGCATGGTCAAACAACCGCTGTTGTGCGACAGTGTGTAGAGGCCTTCATCTAACAGCGGATTAATGACGGCCTGTACGCACAGCAACAGTGGTGTAGTCACTACTTTACCAGTGGTGTAGTAACTACATTACCAGTGGTGTAGTAACTACATTACCAGTGGTGTAGTAACTACATTACCAGTGGTGTAGTAACTACATTACCAGTGGAGTAGTAACTACATTATCAGTGGTGTAGTAACTACATTACCAGTGGTGTAGTAACTACATTATCAGTGGTGTAGTAACTACATTACCAGTGGTGTAGTAACTACATTACCAGTGGTGTAGTAACTACATTACCAGTGGTGTAGTAACTACATTATCAGTGGCGTAGTGACTACATTACCAGTGGTGTAGTAACTACATTATCAATGGCGTAGTGACTACATTACCAGTGGTGTAGTAACTACATTACCAGTGGGGTAGTAACTACATTACCAGTGGAGTAGTAACTACATTACCATTGGTTTAGTAACTACATTATCAGTGGTGTAGTAACTACTTTACCAGTGGTTTAGTTACTACATTATCAGTGGTGTTGTAACTCCATTATCAGTGATGTAGTGACTACATTACCAGTGGTGTAGTAACTACATTACCAGCCCAGGGGATGAGGCAGTGGGCCAGGTGGAGCCCCAGTATTGAAGTTCTCTCTTCACAGTCGAACTCTGGAGGCTGCGAGAGATCGCGGCTCATCTGGCCGCGATCCACGTCCTCGCTACTCCCACGGTCTCTGTCGGGCGCTCCGCATTCGTCATTCACAGCCACTACAGCTCCGTAGTTCGTTACCTCTTTGCAATATATTACGATACCGCTCTAATGAAAATAAAATAAAAACGTGCAACGAAAATTCAAGGGTTTTCATTGAAAATAAATGTAAACCGCATTTTAAATAAGTCTTTGTTGTTCTTTTCCACTCTTGTTGAACACATATCTCATGGCGGTTGTCAAGGGAGGCCCCAAATCGTAGCTTTGCCCCCCCCCCCTTGGCCCCCTCGGCCCCCCTCGGCCCCCGTGGTGGCCAAAGCTACGATTTGGGGTCAAGGACCCCCCCCCTGCTGCTGCTGCACAGTGCACAGAACCATGCATTGCATGCACTACGCATTACATTCAAATGCTTGTTTTTTCAAACGCTACTTTTGAAAGGTACAGAACAACGGGAATCGTGTCTGTATATTGAAAACACTATATATGTCGTAATAAAAACTTTAAACGAGAAACTCACAGTCCCGACACCAATACTTCACATTGCACGACCCACGCCCCCCGTAGACACAGAGTCGGAGGCAGTAGCAAGCCTGTTCAGCAACGCTCGTCACACACACACACGGAGAGGTCACGGAGAGGTCACGGAGAGGTCACGATTGCCCCGTAACAGGCAGGAGGTGTCAGGAGTGGACACGACACGCTCGAGTCGAGCGACTTCCCATCGTCGGTGGCCGCGTCCACTCCGCCGTCTTCATCATCGTCGCCGCCGCCGTTACCATCAACCATCCCAGCTCCCTTCCTCGCGTTTGACCACATCACCATCATCATCATCCACATCACCATCATCATCATCCACATCACCATCGCCATCATCATCATCCACATCACCATCACCATCCTCGTCACCATCATCCACATCACCATCACTATCCACATCGCCAATGGCGGTTTCCTTCTCATATACGCCCTCAACCTCATTCCCTCCCTCATTCCCCCCCTCATCCCCTCCCTCATCCCCAAACTCATTCCCAACCTCATTCCCAACCTCATCCCCTCCCTCATCCCCTCCCTCATTCCCTCCCTCATTCACTCCCTCATTCCCAACCTCATTCCCCTCCTCATCCCCTCCGTCATCCCCAAACTCATTCCCAACCTCATTCCCAACCTCATCCCCTCCCTCATTCCCTCCCTCATTCCCTCCCTCATTCCCAACCTCATTCCCCTCCTCATCCCCTCCCTCATTCCCTCCCTCATTCCCTCCCTCATTCCCAACCTCATTCCCAACCTCATCCCCTCCCTCATTCCCTCCCTCATTCCCTCTCTCATTCCCAACCTCATTCCCCTCCTCATCCCCTCCGTCATCCCCAAACTCATTCCCAACCTCATTCCCAACCTCATTCCCCTCCTCATCCCCTCCGTCATCCCCAAACTCATTCCCAACCGCATCCCCTCTCTGACCCCCTCCCCCACCCGCGACCCTGCGCGCGACCTGCCCCACCAGCTCGTCGGCCTGCGTGGCGCGGCCCTCCAGGTCACCCACGTGCCCCTCCAAGTCGCCCACGTGCCCCTCCAAGTCGCCCACGTGCCCCTCCAAGTCGCCCACGTGCCCCTCCAGGTCACCCACATCCCCCGCCAGCTCGTCGGGCTGTGTGACGTGCCCCTCCAAGTCGCCCACGCGGCCCGCCAGCACGCCCACGTGCCCCTCCAAGTCGCCCACGTGCCCCTCCAGGTCACCCACATCCCCCGCCAGCTCGTCGGGCTGCGTGACGTGCCCCTCCAAGTCGCCCACGCGGCCCGCCAGGTCTCCCACGTGCCCCGCCAGCACGCCCACGCGCACCGTCAGCTCGTCGACGAACCTCTCGGCGGCGGCCGCGTCCCCCCGCAGCGCCTCCAGGCGGTGGGCCGCGCCTGAGGCCCCCGCGGCGGCGCGCAGCAGCGCGGCGCGCCCGGCCGCCAGTGCGCCCAGCCGCTCGGCGGCGGCGCCCTGCGAGGCCCGCAGCGCCAGCACGTCGGCGGCCAGCGAGTCGGAGCGCCGCTCGGCCCGCTCGCCCGCCAGGCGGAGCTCCCCCAGGGACTCGACGTTGGCGGCGATGGCGGCGCCGAGGCGGCGCGCCGTCTCGGCGTCGAGCGCGTCGGCGCGCTCCCCCAGCGAGGAGAGGCCCTGGCGCAGGCCGCTCACCTCCTCCTGCAGGCCTGCGGCGGGCGGGGCAAGCAGGCAAGCGCGTGACGAGGTTGACGAGCAATGTGTGGCGGGGTTAGCGAGGTTGACAAGCGATGTGTGGGTTAGAGGGCAAGCGGGTGACGAGGTTGACGAGCGATGTGTGGCGGGGTTAGCAGGCAAGTGTGCCGGATAGATTTTTTTTTCAGAAGCGACCTGGCCACAAATGAGAGCTCGACGAAGTGGGTTATCATCATCATCATCACCACGTGGAAATGTAGAGCAGCCAAATACTCTCACCGCGTGGTGACGATGATTCTAAATGTTGAGGGAAGAACCGGAGGACCCAGGGAAAACATCCACAGAACCACGGGCAGAGAGAGAGACACGCAAACTCCAAATATACAGGCATCATGGTCTGAATGGAACCCACGACTTCCTGTAGACCAAATGAGGAAGTGAACATCTCTCCTCTCTATCTCTCTACCTGTGATGCGTCGCATGTCGGTCTTGATCGCCGTGAGCTGCTTGGAGAGTTCTCGCGCCACTCGCAACGCCTCCTGTCCCAGGTCGCTCGCCGCTCCCGGTCGCTGCCCGCTCCTCGCTGGGTGCTCCCCCTCCTCCTCCTCTCCCTTCACCCCCTTTCTTTCTCGATCATCCCCCTCCTCCTCAATTCCTGGGCCACCTCGTCTCCCAGTACCCGCATCGCCGGCATCAATGGAATCTCCGACGCCTTCTAAAGCTGTCACCTGCGCAGAGAGAGAGAAAGGGGAGTAAATGATGATTATGTTAACACGCGGTGACCAGTAGCAGGGCCTTCGCGACCAATATCATCCATAAGAGGTTTTACTGGTTAGATCGCGTAAATAGAAATGTGTCGTTAAACCCACCACCACCCAACACAGCCAATTAGTCAGGTTTGTCACGCAAAAAGAACATGCAAATTTGCTGCACTAGTTACTGAGTGTGCTGCACTAGTCACGTGATCATCCATTGTAATTTACATGACGACATTCACCTCCCCTCTGCGCTTCGTGCACGGCGATGACGTCACCTTTACTCTGTCTAAGACCGACGATCCTGGTTGTAACAACAGCCAAACGTCAAATTAAAACTGTAAATGCCGTGGGTTTACTATGCATCACATCGGTGTGCTGTATACATTTACACGACTTAACCCAAAACAACCTTTATTATAAATTGTGGCGCTCCCACCTTCGATGAGCACCGTTGACTATGTACGGTGCGAAAGAAGCTTAGGATACAAACAAATCGATGTTTCTAACTGGCAACCATTCCCTAATCCACATATTCCTCTATTTGTTGGTGTAATTCCAAGCATGCAGCTTCCCCACATACATACATGGTGCTGGGAGTAGAGCAAACCCTTCATATTTGCGGGGGGGAGGGGGGGTATACGTTCTTGAACAATGTCGCAAATTTTAAATCCGCGAACATTTATACTCAAAGCTTATGGGGATTGTTCTCCGGGCCCTCCGGTCTTTCCCTCCACATGTCGACGAATCGACACGCGCTCAGAGTGCTGCTGCTGCTGCTATAAATGTCCCCACGACGACGATGAGCCGCCTCGTTGAGCGTTGTCATCTGTGACCGTCCGGTCTCTGCTGACAAAGAGCTGCTTAGCCTCAGTGGGGCCTTGCCTGGTAAAATACAAACTTCGTTTAGTCTTCTAGCTCAGCCACGGGAATCTCACTCGCCGCACGGCCACATCCCGGTAACCGCGCGACGTTTAGGCCGTGTGGTCAGAACCGACGGACCGACGTTTGCCCAAACTGTGCTGTTTCCGATGATGATGATGTTGATTCTGTTGAATCCGACGATGAGGTGAAAAGGGAGATAGACGTTGGGATGGACCTGCTTTTGTTGGTCTCTAATCACAGCCTGAAGGCTTTCGATCCGGGCCCTCAGCTCCTCCAAGTCCCGCACGCCAGGCCCCCGTGTCTCCAGCTCCGAGAGTTGCCCGATCTGAACGCCCAGCCACCTGGGAGGAACACAGGCACACAAAGACGACGACGACCCTCCTCCTTCACGCGCTGGTGGGGGAAGTGTGGTGAGCGAGCACCCTATGAAGGCCGGCACGGCACACGATGGGGCTGGTGTCAGCAACAGCATGCCAGGCCGTCTTTGTTTCCCCAGTGCTGATGTCTACATTCTATACCAGGTGCTCATAAAAGGCTGAGTTGACCTGGGGGAGGCCCAGGACCGGTTAAAAAATGTCGGTCAGTGGGTCTGGGTGTCAAATTTTGACTTACAACTTTCGTGACTGCAGGAATTCATAGTCTTTGGTTATTTCGGTAAAGTCACGTAGACAGAAAATATAAATAGAATTTTTAAATAAGCGGTCTTCATCAGGCGGTCTCCACTTGTGTTGCGATCAAAACGTCGTGGATTTTTGCTTTTATTTTTAATTTAATTTTATTTTTATTTTCTATCTCCGTGACTTTACCGAAAGAACCAAATGGTTTGGGTGTCGGTCAGAGTTGGGCCTGGTTAATACTAAAAAACACAACAAAACGCCGGTCATTAATAACACTGCCTGGCCTTGAAGTAAAAACGATACACAACAGACGTTTTGGGCAAAGGCCCTTCTTCTTGTGCTGCAGAAGGATCATCGCCTGAAACGTCGCCTATTATCCTTGAACAGTATTTATATGATAGGCACACCAGAAATGAGTGCCATGCCAGCGCAGCTGCCCCAGGCAGTGGTGGTTTAAGGTGAGGAATGCGGCACGGACCTTCGGTCCGCACTTGCCGCGAGGGTTACCTCTACAGCAGCGGTTCTTAAACCTTCAGTGCAGCCTTTGCCACTGGTCAAGGAGGTCTCATAGTGTTAACTGCCGGGTTGGTTTGAAGGCTTCTGGGGACCCAGGCAGCACGGGTTGTCCAGAACTCGCAACCCGCCCCCCCCCCCCCCCCCCCATGAACGGCCCTGTGCACTGCCATCCCATATATACACAGGGTGCTTCAAAGAAATGTGAACACTTCATAGGACTATGGTTTTGAATGGAAGATGATGCCATGATAACAAATGTATGTGAATAGCTTCAACAAGCCAAAGGGTCTCCACTCGCTCGCCATCACTGTCAACGCGTGCCTGGTGGTCCCCAGGTGCCCAGAGGCACATTTCTCGTGGTCTCGTTGCAAATTCTCAGAAGCGTTCACTTGTTTCTAAGCACCCTGTACACAGCACACACATGTACGTTGAACTTCTTTCGCGCCGTACGTAGCCGACCGTGCTACTGAACCTCACGGTGCACAGCGCACCGAGCGACGGGAAAGGCACGAAGGGGCTCCCACATGCTGACAACTTCTATAAAACCCCCCGCACCTCTCCCGCATGCGTGCGGTGCTCGCTGACGCAGCGGCGAGTGAATGCAAGCTCAGGGTTCTAGGTGGTGGGGGTCAGGGGGGGGTAGAAAGGTGTCGGAGGAGGAGGAGGAAGTGCGTGATTTTATTTGTATCTGCGAGGAATCTGTCTTCTGTGAGTGCGGGGAATTCCCCACGTCGGGCTCCGCGTTCCACTGGTCGCGTGCGTGACCCCCCCTCTCTCTCTCTCTCGTACACGAGCCTCCGATTCGCACGGGTGGCGACGCAGGAAAGGAATGAAACGAGCCGCACGTACAGCCGGGAGACAGAGACAGACGTCGTTATCATTGCCTGTCACTGAAAGCACCCCGCAATGCAAAGACAAAGGTCCCCCCTATAGCATTCAAAGACTGTTGGGGCAAGTGCTGCTAGCGAGCACCTATGAAGGCCGGGGTTGGTGGCCAGCACCACGCCCGGCCGCCTTTATCTCTCCAGTGGCGATGCTTAGACGCCGCACCAGGTACTCATTTGAGGCTGAGTCGACAAAGGGGAGCCCCGGGACCGATTCAGATCGTCGTCGCCGGTGATTGGCCGTGAGCGGGGGTCGCCGGGTTCGTAGCGCGACGTCTCTCCACTGGTGATGTTTACATACCGCGCCCGGCCGCCTTTGTCTCTCCACTGGTGATGTTTACACACCGCGCCCGGCCGCCTTTGTCTCTCCACTGGTGATGTTTACACACCGCGCCCGGCCGCCTTTGTCTCTCCACTGGTGATGTTTACACACCGCGCCAGGCTCTCACGAGTGCTCGTCCACGGCAATTGCTCCTGCACTCTGTTAAGGCTACACGGGGGACCTTTGTCTTTGTTGTGCATCGTCATCGCTCGAGTTGGCGTTAGCTGGAGAGGCGCTTTTGATGACGTCCCTCTGACGTTCATATTGGGGGGCCCGGGACACGTGGCCCAAGATTAATCTCACCAAAACAGTGGCTGAACATAAACACTAGAAAACTCAATGAGGGAATTCCATTTGATTCAGCGGCAACAACACACGTAACGCATCCCGTCAAAAAACGCCCGACCTTGATAGGGGAAAAATATACATGGTGGACCCACTTATCAGGACACACAAAGTTATTGAATAATTTTAACGATGGCATGAAAAAATAGATAGTTCTTGAAGTTAAAAGTCACTATTGTATCGACTCTATTATCATGATTCTCCCCAAGCTACGCGGTCATCTATCCTCGTCCATTCACGTTTGATCACCAGTCATCCGGCATCTCTGCACCACGTGACATTCATTCCTTAACACCGGATTGTGTCGGTGCACCATCTTCAGTGTGTCTCGCGTGACGCACTTCGCTTTTCCTTCCGATTTATATTCGCCGCACTGCTATACTCGACGATTTTAACACGTAGGCTTTCGCGACCAATATTATCCATCATAGAAACAGGAGGATGTGTCCACGACTCTGCCTCTCCTCCTGATGATGCCGGTTGTAATTACAAGCCGAACGTCACGGTATCCGAATTGTAAATGCGGTAGTAAGTTTACTCTCCAACGCACCGAATTTGTGCTGTACTAGCGACGAATCGCCACGTTTTGTTTATGCGGCAAAGCTTGCTGTGTCGGGTGGTGGCAGGTTTAACGACACATATCTAACCCAAAAACATCTATTATGGATTCATTTGCCTTGCTTTTGTAATGACGTTGACCCAGTTCACTCTTGCCAATGGCACACTACCCTGGACTCTTGAGTTGGCTAATGAATAAAAACCACAACGTGAGAAACTTGATGGCCATTCTAACCGGGGCGTTGTGCTCCCCCGCTCGCCCTCCGTTGCCGGGAACGCTCCGTGCGCAATTCGCCGGTCGACGAATCGCAGCGTGGCCAGACGGCCGTGAGCCGTCTGGCGTCGCCTGCAACCCGGTCATCGAGCGGCGCGCACGCGGCTACAGAGTTCCGTGTCTCTCAAATGGTGACCCCCCCCCATCCCCCATCCCCCCTCCAGTTGAACCAGTTCCGCAGTCATTTTCTGCCTAAAACCACCTGAGGTCTATGCTACAAATATGACAATGCACCAGGAAGAGAGTGGATATGCAAAGTATCGCCTAGAAACAGCTGGAACGGAAAGGAGTCTGCAAACTCATCCCGTCCCCGTGAGCACCGAGGTCACGGCTGATGCAGGCCTCAGAGCGCTTGGGACTGCGGCGAGCCGAGATCTCGGTCGTTCCAAGGGAGCGCTTCGACAATAACATCGAGCAAACCCGGTGGCTATGAGATGTTATCTGCCTCGCCTGGTATACAGGAGGTCGTGGGTTCAATCCCGACCTTGACGCCTGCTGCTGTATGTTTGGAGTTGCGTGGGTTTCTCCGTGGTCGCGTGGATTTTTCTCCGGGTCCACCGAGTTTTTCCCTCCACATTTAGAATCAACATCACGCGTTTAGAGTATTTGACTGGCATAAATGTCCACGTGATAAGCCACTTCGCCAAGCTATCATTTGTGGCCAGGTCGCTTCTGAACAAGAGCTCTATAGCGAGTTCAGTGGGCCTTACCTGGTCAATTAAGTTTCACAGTTTAGTTGATTGGTTTTTAGCACGCCTGTCCAACTCATGCCCTCCCATCTCCCGTCTTCTTCTTGTCGTATGGCCGCTGATGTAGATGCAGAGCAACGACTACGATTTCACATCCAGGTGGTCAGGCCCAGACAATCGCGTCAGGAATAGCGGAATAGAAGTGTATCATCATCATCGTCGTCGCTGTTACGTCTCCTTCGTATTTGTGAATCGGGGCGCTGCATCGTTATACGGGAGAAGATTCCATTCCCAAATCGGTGAACGTAGACACGAGATGGTGCGTTCACGCCAAATCGGCAATGATTGCCTCTTGCACACACACGCAAAACAAAGAACCCCCGTGTAGCCTGGACAGACTGTAGGGGCAAGTGCTGTTCGCGAGCATTTATGAAGGTTGGCAAAGCACACGAGGGGGTGGGTGGCGAGCACCACGCCCGGCCGCCTTTGTCTCCCCAGTGGCGATGTTTACACACCGCCGAGTCGCCCTAGGGGAGACCCAGGACCGGTTCAGATAATCGTCGCTGGTGTTGACCGTGAGCGGGAATCGACCTGGGCCGCCGGGTTCGTAGCGATGGTTCGTAGCGATGGTTCGCGCCTCCGATAATCCCGGTTCTGGTGCTGCAGCACTGAACCACGTGCGCACCATGAACTCGGCCAAAGGTCATCCCGTGGAGGGGCGAAGAACCGAGATGAGGTCACGGCACCGACTCCATCGCACCGCTCAGCGCGCAGCTCAAGCAAGTCGTTCGTCGTCGACCGCTCAGACCCCGCGTCATAACGACGGCGTGCGTTCCGCGTTGTAGCGAAAACGCGTCGTGTGAACACCGCACGTTGTAGCGAGGACTCGCCCCGCTCTCAGGCCCTGCAAGCTCTTTGTGAACGCGCATGAAGGCGGCTGTAGAACAAGAGGTGCTGGCCACAGGACCGCGGCGTGCGGCTGTCCCGCGGAGCACTTTCATGGCCTCTGTCCAGGTCAGGGGTCGGCAACCAGAATCACAAGGAGAGAGATTTGTTTCGAATTCGCCGGGAAGCTCGATATCTCAAGAGCAGCGATGCTCCCCCAGAGCCGCTCTGATATTCGCTGTCACTTTGCGACTCGCAGATGGCAGTGAAGGGGCGGTCACCGAGATGCTCGCTCCGTGAAGAGAATCGTTGATCGGCGACGATTCGGGCAATGCCCCTTTCTTCATGCCACGTTAAACAACAAAGTGTTCGTGCCATGAAGAAGAGCCGTTGCTGAGCACGCATTGTTGAAAATCAAACCGTACACCGAACATTTGCGATGTCATGGCCCATTGAGATCTCGCGTATCGTCACCGCTCAGCACCCCGTGCACACAAACGCACGGCGCCTTTGTCAATCCACTGCTAGATTAGAGCCATCCTCAGGCAAGCCGCAGCGTGCACGGGTTGTGGCAATTGTGTGACCATGTTTACAAAGCAAGCACCGTTGGAGGTCAGTCTGAGTTGCTGGGAGCGATGAGTTGGGGCGGGGGGCAGGCATTGTCGTGGGGACATAGAGGTACAGTACAACAATGCATTAACAAGGGGGGGAAACATGTATGTTGAACTTCTTTCACACCGTACATAGACAACCCAGATAATCGGACGTGCGGGGGAAGGACAACAAACTAAATAAATTGGTTTTCAATTTAAATGATTCAAAAATGTATAGCTCCAGTGGTTTCTTAGTATCTTAAAAAAGAGCGTTCCAGACGGTCACGGAAGCGCTTCTATATATATAAAATAGGCGACGTTTCAGACAATGACCCTTCACCACAGCAGCACGTAGAGAGAGCCGCGGACATCGCGGACAGAGCACGACGGGCGAGTTGACATCAAAAGGGGTCCTGGTGCCTCCCCCTCTGGCAATATCCAGGGCAGTGAAGCGTGCTGGAGAGAAGCACAGCCACGCGTGAGCATTGTGGCGTTGGGGGAGGTGATGTGTGGAGCGCACTCGCGTCCCACGAATGCGGTGCCCAAGCAGTGCGGCGGCTAAGACGCTGGCCGCGCGGGGCCACGCAATGCCACGCGTGCCACACCGTGTGGCACCTAGAGAACACACCGTGTGGCACCTACAGAGAACGCACGTGTGGCACCTACAGAGAACACACGTGTGTCCACGCGTGAACACACGGTCACAATGCGCAGAGAGAGAGAGGGGGAGGGAGAGGGGGTGGCCCACGCACCCAGCCAAGATCAGACTCGCGGCGAGGCTCGTGACGGCCAGGGCCACCCTCCGATGGGACGCCTGGACCCCCAGTGTGCCCCCCACGGAGCCCCCCACGGAGCCCCCCACGGAACCCCCCACGGAGCCCCCCGCGGTGCCCCCCCGGCCGGGGCAGTCTGCCGCTGTTGTTCCCTTCCTCCGCTGCCGCAAATCGTCAGACGCAGCCATCGCCCGCTCCGCGTGCGTGGTGGTGGGTGGGTGGTGGGTGGGCGTCTTCACGGAGCTTGTACTGCTACTGGATCCTGTCTTGTCGCCCCGGCTGCTACATCAGCGCGCCTGGTGGCTGCCCAGATGCGGCCTCGATTATAATCGGAAGCGGTAGCAGCAACAATAAAGTGGAAGCGATGTTTTTGTTCCGACACAAATTTCACTCAAGCGATCCGAGGAACGACTTTTGCAACTTTGGGGGCTGTACCATGTTACTGTTAAGCAGTGCTGAAGGGGGTCGGCTGGAGTTTGGATGATCGAATCACGTCACAGTGTAGCTGTCGTCGATACCCTTTTGTTTAAGCCATACAAAGGAATATTCCGTGGGGTCTATTTCATACGTACACTTTAACTGCGGTGTAAATGTGATGATAAATGCGTTGTTATTATTCGTGCAAAACTTTCGTTTGTAAAATAAAATGTTAACCCACCCCACCCCGACCCCACAGTTGGTCTCGTCCGCCGCGTTGTCAGGAGCGCGTGGCGGTGACGTGGCGCCGGGGGTTCCTCCGCCCGAGGTGAAGGCGCAGCCCCTGCAACGGCCCCGCTCCTCCTCGCCCCCTGCCGGCTGCGTCACCAAGAGCCTCGAGTGAGGCTTTCTCTCTCTCTCTCTCAATATCGATTTCATCGCCCTATTCTGCACGGTAGACGTCCCATGGGAACACATTCCACGCCGTCGTTAGCCTCAACCCGAACAAAACCAATCCACCATCCCTTTTGGCCACGTGCCCTGACCTAGCCCGCCCTTTGATTGAAACTCAACACTTTGCGATATTCGAGACGCTACTTGAGATATGCACTTAAACAATCTAGACTGAAGACGAATTTCTTTAGAAACGATTTTGTGTGTGTTCGTTTATTCCCCCCCCCCCCCCGCATCTCACATTAGCACAGTTGGCTGCGTGCGATGAAAAATAAGTTCAAGGTACACACACACAATACGGTGCCTCCAACTAGTGAACATTCTCTAGTCCACGTGTTCCTCTTTTTTGTCGCTGCAATTCCGAGCACGCAGCTTCCCCAAGCTTCTCGCTTCACGCCTCAGACTGTGTTCCCTTTTCTTCGTCACGGAATGGCATCGTGCATCGTTTCCGTAACAGCGCGCATCACCAAGAATATAAACTCCACTTACGAAGGATTCGTTCAGTCGAGTTCTGCTTGGGAAGTTTGGCCAGCATTGTGAAGTACTGTACGTTGTTTTGTATAAAACCTTTCACCCGTGGCACACCCCAGGGTTATCTATTTTACGTATTTATTTTGGAGTAATTTGCTCCAAATACTTTGCACTCTTATCGGTTTTTTGTGCTGTTTGTTGTTGGAAGTTTCTGACCTGCCCCTGCTGGACATCTGTGAAAAAGACCTTTAAAGCTCATCGAATTCCTCCAGGATAAATACAGATTCTGTTTCTGAAGTAGAGTAGAGTGAAGAATGTAACGCATGGCAAAAAAGTGGAAGGAAAGGGGGAGAGAGAATATTAATAATCGCCAATAATAGAAGGTGGGAGAGGAATGGAAACAACTGGCTGAAATGATCGGGAAAGAGTGACCGGGCCATGACGTCGGGATTGAGAGGGTGGTGGTGGTGAGAGGGTGGTGGTGGTGGTGAGAGGGTGGTGGTGGTGGTGAGAGGGTGGTGGTGGTGAGAGGGTGGTGGTGGTGGTGAGAGGGTGGTGGTGGTGAGAGGGTGGTGGTGGTGAGAGGGTGGTGGTGGTGGTGGTGAGAGGGTGGTGGTGGTGAGATGGTGGTGGTGGTGGTGGTGGGGGTGAGAGGGTGATGGTGGTGGTGGTGGTGAGAGGGTGGTGGTGGTGAGATGGTGGTGGTGGTGGTGGTGGGGGTGAGAGGGTGATGGTGGTGGTGGTGGTGGTGAGAGGGTGGTGGTGGTGGTGAGAGGGTGGTGGTGGTGAGAGGGTGGTGGTGGTTGTGGTGAGAAGGTGGTGGTGGGGGTGAGAGGGTGGTGGTGGTGAGATGGTGGTGGTGGTGGTGGTGGGGGTGAGAGGGTGATGGTGGTGGTGGTGGTGGTGAGAGGGTGGTGGTGGTGGTGAGAGGGTGGTGGTGGTGAGAGGGTGGTGGTGGTTGTGGTGAGAAGGTGGTGGTGGGGGTGAGAGGGTGGTGGTGGTGAGATGGTGGTGGTGGTGGGGGTGAGAGGGTGATGGTGGTGGTGGTGGTGAGAGGGTGGTGGTGGTGATGAGAGGGTGGTGGTGGTGGTGGTGAGAGGGGAGAGACAAGAGGAAGAAGAGAGAGGAGGACATTGCGAGCTGCACGGAGTGGCGTCTGTTTTCGCAGCGGGTGGGGAAAGGGGAGGGGGGATTCCGAGTGGGAGGGGCCACACCTAAGTCACGTGACCTGCGGGAGGCTTGAGTTGATGCTGTCTATATATAGAAGATGTGTCACGTGCCACGAGAAAGCCCACACAGATGACCTCCCACCAAGTGAACTTTTAAATAGTTGATGTGCTATGAAGAAGGGCAATTACTCAAAACGTCACCTTTTATCGACTTTCATTTATAGCCACAGCACCATTGACGATGTGTGTAGGTTGTGTGTGTGTGTTTGTCAAAGATGCCAACTTCTAATCGTACATCAACCTCGTTTCGCAAACACATCGTCACTTTGTTACTACCACGACCCGATCTGCGTGTGATCTCAGCCAGTCAGCCCACGGCGCCTGGGTCTGTCCCGTGACCTCCTGCCAGCGAGCGTTCGACAATTCACGAGATAGCCTCAAGGTGCACCTAGCCTGGCACAAAGCGCCGTGACGTCGCCGCCACTTAGTGGCGAATGGCGACGTGGAGGGGAACCCCCCCCCCCCCCCCAGTGACTGGGAGATAAACCTCGCCTCGATTCAAATCTAGAATAAACTCGCCGCCAAGCGGAGCAAAGTTCAATCACACAGCGGGCATCGTCAGGGTCGGGCTCGAAGGGGGGAGTCACCGTCCCCTCGCCACCGCAGCAGCAGCAATCATTGAAGGTCGCTGGGGCCACACCCCCCCCCCCCCCCCCCAGGTGCACGTCTCACCCCCCCCCCCCCACACACAATAGTCGACAGGTGCACGTCTCACCCCCCCCCCCCAGGAGTCCCCCTCTTCCCCCTCCTCCTCCTCTCCCCCCACCCACCCACCCGCACCGCCCCGCATGCAAATCAGGATGCAAATCGCCGCTGGGGAACTTGAACTTGGAGGGGGCGTGCCCTCACCTGCACGCACCTGCCGCGCTGTGCGAGGGCTGCTCTGGCGAGAGAAGCCAGGGGGTGGGGGGTGGGGGGCTACCCAGGTGAGTGGCACGTGCTGAGCTGCTCACCACTTGGCTGTGGGGAGGGGGTAGCGGGTGAGTGGGGGTGGTGAGCGAGGCAGCAGGTGGACCGGCTTCACCCACGCCGCCGCAGGCTCGGTTATACCGTCACCACCACCATCAAGCCATCGACCCTGACCATCGCCACCTACAGCGGCGAGCGAACTCGTCCCGCAGCGGCGGCGGCGTCGTCACGAGAGGTAGGTCGCGATTCCGTAGCACCACCACCACCTGTGTGTGTGTGCGTGTGTGCGTGTGTGTGCGTGCGTGCGTGTGTGCGTGTGTGTGTGCGTGTGTGTGCGTGTGTGTGTGCGTGTGTGTGTGTGCGCATGTGTGTGCGCGTGTGTGTGTGCATGTGTGTGTGTGCATGTGTGTGCGTGCGTGTGTGTTCGTGCGTGTGTGTGTGCGAGTGTGCATGTGTGTGTGCGTGTGTGTGTGCGGTAGTGTAGCGGTTAGCGCGCTGCGCTATGAACCTGGCGACCCGGGTTCGATTCCCGCTCACGGCTAACACCAGTGACGATTATCTGAACCGGTCCTGGGCCTCCCCTAGGTCGACTCAGCCTTAAATGAGTACCTGGTGCGGTGTGTAAACATCGCCACTAGGGAGACAAAGGCGGTCGGGCGTGGTGCTGGCCACCCACCCCCTCGTGTATCGTTCCGGCCTTCATAGGTGCTCGCTAACAGCACTTGCCCCTACAGTCTGTTCAGGCTATACGGGGGATCTTTGTCTTTATCTTTGTGCGTGTGTGTGCATGTGTGTGCATGTGTGTGCATGTGTGTGGTGTGTGTGTGCATGTGTGTGGTGTGTGCACATGTGTGTGTGCGTGTGTGTGGTGTGTGCATGTGTGTGTGCGTGTGTGCATGTGTATGGTGTGTGTGCATGTGCGGGGACATGCGGGACCGTCCTAACACGCGCTCCGTGATGCCGCCTTGCGACTGCCGTGGGCTCTGTGAAGGTTGCTCACACAGCCACGCGTCACGAGACGCAGAGAGAGACCTCCTGTCAACTCTCCTCTAAGACTGACGCCACCATGATGATGATGATGTTGTAGCAGAACATTGCCTATGAGATGGCAACACTGTCTATGTCGACATCGGCGTACAGCATAATTTGTCGAGTTCGGAACGTTCCAAGCGCGTACGTGTTCAGTGTATTCGTTCTACCGGTCTGTTAAAAGTGTTATACTCTTAACAAAGTGTTATACTCTTAATAACAGACGAAGTGTTCTACTCTTGACCAAGTGTTATACTCTTAACAAAGTGTTATACTCTTAACAAAGTGTTATACTCTTAACAAAGTGTTATACTCTTAATAACAGACGAAGTGTTATACTCTTAACAAGGTGTTATACTCTTAACAAAGTGTTATACTCTTAACAAAGTGTTATACTCTTTACAAAGTGTTATACTCTTAACAAAGTCTTATACTCTTAAACAAAGTGCTATACTCTTGACAGACCGGCATCTGACTGAATCTCTGCGTCGCCTGTCAAACTTGGAAACGGAACGTTGAGTTGTGTCCGGGCTTAGTGAACGCATTTATCAACATGTCTGGGCACACTCAGAAACGACGCTGCACGGGCAGCCTCCTGTCAAACCTCCACAAGTCCCGCACGCCGCACCCACGTGGCCTGCATGGGCGGCAGTGCAGCAAGTAGGTTGCCCCTGCTACGACGGCGAGCACCGGGGGTTGGTTCGAGCCTCCGGTCTCGCTTCCCCCACTGCTTCGTGGGGTTGTCTCCCGCACGGGAGACACGATGACCCCTGCCCCCTGCCCCCCCTGCCCCCCACCCCCAAACAATAGCAAACTTCTGAACCGAGTTCAGAGTCTTGCATCGCACTCGTGGCGAAGCTGCGTCGCGGCCTCAATGCGTCGTTCGTCGAGTTGCAATTTGAAATGTTGCTACATTGACCACGCGATTCTATAGCCACGGGTGTGTTGCGTGGCGATTATCTGTGCCAAGTCGGTAGCTGTAGGCAGAGAGGAGCGGCGGCGACTCGGGGTTGTTGATTGTAGCTCGCGGGCGGTAGCAGCGGCGGGGCGCGTAGATAACGCGGCCGAGTTCGTCCTCGTTGCGAATCGTCCCAGCAGAAGACATTTTCCGGCCGATGACGTGCATCGCCATCGTCGCCTTCCACGTCGATGACGAGGACCCGTTTGGACGATGGCCTCGTGGCGGCGTCATCGCCTTGTCCGTCGGCGCGACACCGAGAGGGCCGCGGTGGCGCACAAGCGCGATCGTCGTAAGACAAACTCCGCATAGTCACCAATGACACTTTGCGTGGCCTACAAAGGCACCGTGCGTAGCCAACCGCGCTAATCGGAGGTGCAATGAGTTTGTCAATCTCGATGATGGTTTAAAAGTGCATCATAGCTCCAGTGGCTTCCTCATATGGGAAGGAAGAGCGTTCCAGACGGCCACAGACGCCCATCTGAAAGTGCGCGAAGCGGTGACGAGATCAGCAAGGCATTTTGCTTCATTTGTGTTCATGATAGGCGACGTTTCGGGCAATGAACCTTCCCCATAGCACATGTATAGAGTGGCTAGAGGAGAGTGGACGATATGAGCTGGAGACTGCATCTGTGCACACCGTGGGGGTTGATGAGACAGACGTTACTTTCGTAATATTTTCTGACGGGCAGGATTTTAAATTGGCGTATGAATAGATAATATATTTTTGGGTGAGTTCGCCGAGCAAGTAAAATGTTGTCTCGTACTACCCTCCGCCACCCGACGCAGCCACGTAACAAAGTTGCCGCGTGACGAACACACGAGGCCACGTGGTTGCTGCTTCACCACCACACAGCTGCGTTGGACCTGCAATCGACGACTTTTCAAAGTTGGCCTACGTGCTGAATTTGTCACGTGCACAGTGGCGCTCACAGTAGTAAGTAGCTACTGAGTGACAGACAACCCATTCAACAAGCAAACACAAGTCAAGCTACCACCTGAACTCGTTCGCTTTGAAAGTACAGCTCGTAAAGTCTCCATAAAAGTGAAACACCGAGAGGGCGGGTGAGTGGCTGGAGGAGGTCATTTGAGGCCACGTCACACACACACACAGAAGTACCTCACACACACCCAACCACGTCACACAACCACGTCACACACAACCACGTCACACACACACAACCACGCCGACCCAGATTGCCGAGGTGTTTGCATGGCCCCCAGGGTGCACGGCCGTCCACATCGACAGCTTCACGTGGACGCTTAACGCACCCCCGAAAGAAGTCCAACGTGCATGCACGCATACAGTGCAGCGAGTTCCACTGTGACAGCCCTGAGAAGCCATTCAAGACCATCACGTTACCATACATAGCAGGTGAAACCAAAAATTTTTCCAAAATCTTAAACAACCACAAGATCCAGGTCCGATTCAATACAGTACACAAAATCCGTGATCTAATCCCATCTGTGACGGAGGTCATTCCTGACATGCAATACCCTGGAGTCTACAAACGGAGTTGTACCTGCGTTGGCTGTTACATTGGGGAAACGAAACGACATGTCTCGGACCGTGTTCGCGAACACAAGGCAGATCTGAAACACGACAGAACCAATACCTCTGCCGTAGCTGACCACTGCTATAACGCAAACCTTCCGGCAACTATCAAAGTTTTGTTCATGAAGCCACCCAGATATATAAACATAGACATAACTTCAACCGAAAAGATGGATACAAATTGAGCAATCATTGGAAGGATCTTCTTGGTTCTTTCGGTAAAGTCACGTAGAAGGGAAGTAATAAAATAATAAAAATAAAACATAATAAAATTATTCTCACGAAACTGCAGCAGCAGCAGCAGCAGCAACTGCAGCAGCAGCAACTGCAGCAGCAGCAACTGCAGCAGCAGCAACAACTGCAGCAGCAGCAACTGCAGCAGCAGCAACTGCAGCAGCAGCAGCAACTGCAGCAGCAGCAACTGCCGCTCCCTTTGATGCTGTTAATCCTGCATAATGCACATGCATATGTAGTACTAATCACATTCCTGCATTTCCCATAAATATGCTAAATTCCTCTTGATATGCAAATTCCTTTGTCTAGGCGCCCAGCTTATATATATGCTCCAAGCTCGTGTGCTGTTTCATTCAGACTCTGTCGCCTCGACGGGCCTGGTTTTCACCTGAAGACGGCTGCTTTGGTTGTGGCCGAAACGTCGTGAGAATATCTTCTTGGTTCTTTCGGTAAAGTCACGTAGAAGGGAAGTAATAAAATAATAAAAATAAAACATAATAAAACAATTCTCACGACGTTTCGGCCACAACGCAAGCAGCCGTCCTCAGGTGAAAACCAGGTCCGTCGAGGCGACAGAGTCTGAATGAAACAGCACACGGGCTTAGAGCATATATATAAGCTGGGCGCATTGACAAAGGAATTTGCATATCAACAGGAATTTAGCATATTTATGGGAAATGCAGGAATGTAATTAGTACTGCATATGCATGTGCATTATGCAGGATTAACAGCATCAAAGGGAGCTGCAGTTACTGCTGCTGCAGCAGTTGCTGCTGCTGCCCTTCTACGTGACTTTACCGAAAGAACCAAGAAGATGAATCCCTGCAGTCATGAAAGCTTTAAATCGAAACATTCGAAGGATGTTATCAACCAGGTAACGCCTTACCTGCTTGTGGTTGTTCCCATCCTACCTGCCGTCTACTAGCACCCTTTTCCTAGTTACTTTAACTAGGAAAGCTGAGTGTCCCACTCAGCTTCCAACTTCTAGCCCAGCCCCCCCCCCCCCAGCCTCACTTCCTCTCCCCCTAGCGCTCACGCAGCCCCCCTTTCCCCTGCCCCCCCCCTCTCCCACTTCTAGCCCCGCCCACTTCCCCCTCCCCCCAGCCTCACTTCCTCTCCCCCTAGCGCTCACGCAGCCCCCCCCCTACCCCACACCACCTGCCACTCTCTCTCCCCCCTTTCTTACCTATATAACCTCTTGCCACGGCAGCTCTCTCGCCTATTTCAGCATTTTCTTGCCGTGGTTGTCCCACCTGATGAGGATCGCTTGTGTTGCGATCGAAACGTCGTGATTTGTTTTATTTTATTTATTTCTACCCACGTGACTTTACCGAAAGAACCAAAGAGTATGGATTCCTGCAGTCACGAAAGCTTCAAATCAGGATCGTGTATTGTCTTCAGCCATCCTCGATCCGAGGATTGGCCGCACCACGGGCGACCCTCCGCCACTGACTTCTGTCTTCTGCTATCCTCATTTGTCTGTTCCAGCGTGAGTGAGTCTCGTCCAGGCTTTGATGTTGTCCATCCACCGGGAGCCTTGTGGTCTTCCTCGCGCACGTGAAGCGAGTATTGTGCCTTGCATTGTCTGCTTTTACAAACAAGTTCCATATATATTTTACTCATGGCATGACCATATGGACGTTGTATTTCCACGTATGTGCACATCCTGTTATAACGCGCATCCCGTTACAACGCGGTTTCTGCACGGTCGATGACGAACTACTTTCTTGAGCTGCGCGGCTCGGCGGTACAGTGATAGAGCACGCGGAACGGCGTACCCGCAGTGACCTGTCCCGCGACGATGTCACTGTGTGTGTGCGTAGTAGTTCGTACGTCGTATCTCGCCACACCTCATCGTTAAAGTATTCACGGGAAAATAGTTTTCGCTGAACGCGGCGGCGCTTTTCAGGAACGCATCCAGTCCCGCGTTCAGCGAGGACTTGCCGGACTGCTTTGTGGGAGCGCCATCAGGCGGACAGCCAGATGTAGTTGTTTAGATTCGAATCAAGAGGCGGGAATGCCGTGGCGGGGGCACGCGGTTGATAAAAGCGTGGCGGTGTCACCTCGCGCAGGTGTCCGACGATCGAGGAGGGAGGCACGCGAAGGATGTGCGACCCCACGCATTCCCTGCGCTTCGCGGTGCACGAGCACCCCGCAGCGATGTACCCAGGTACGTGGTGCATCGAAGATGAGACGTCCCCATCGTGTAGCCTTGACAGCCTCCTGGGGCAAGTGCTGCTGCTAGCGAGCCGCACCCGTGCAGGCAGGCACGGCACACGACGGGGTGGGTGGCCAGCACCGCGCCCGGCCGCCTTTGTCTCCCCAGTGGCGATGCTGAGACGCCGCACCAGGTACTCATTTGAGGCTGAGTCGACAAAGGGGAGCCCCGGGACGGATTCAGATCATCGTCACCGGTGGTTGGCCGTGAGTGAGATTCGAACTCAGGAAAACGTAGTTCTTCAGGAAAACCTAATTCTTCAGGATAACCTAGTTCTTCATGATAACCTAATTCTTCAGGATAACCTAATTCTTCAGGATAACCTAATTCTTCAGGATAACCTAGTTCTTCAGGATAACCTAATTCTTCAGGATAACCTAATTCTTCAGGAAAACCTAATTCTTCAGGATAACCTAGTTCTTCAGGATAACCTAATTCTTCAGGATAACCTAATTCTTCAGGAAAAGCTAATTGGTCAGGAAAACTGAATTTTTCAGGAAAACTTCATTCTTCAGGAAAACCTAATTCTTCAGGAAAACCTAATTCTTCAGAAAACATAGTTCTTCAGGAAAGCTTAATTCTTCAGGGAAGCGTAATTCTCCAGGAACGTAATTATTCAGGAAAACTGAATTTTTCAGGAAAACTAAATTTTTCAGGAAAACTTAATTCTTCAGGAAACGGGACATTTGTTCAGGGCCTTGATAGCTTCAGAGAGGGCCCACGTAAATAAAAGCGTTATTATTTTGTCGTTATACAGCATTAAAGACGTAGAGGTGTGTGTTCATAGTATCGTGTTAATATTGAACAACATCCATAATGCAGGTTTGTTTGGGTTAGATCGCGTAAAAATGTCAACGTGTCGTTAAACCCGCCACCACCCAACACAGCCAACTAGTAAGCCTTTCCCTGTACACCTTGGGGTGCGACAGGGATGTCCTCTGGCTCCCACATTATTTAACATCTAACACACACACACACCCACACACACACACCCACACACACACCCACACACCCACACACACACCCACACACACCCACACACACCCACACACACCCACACACACCCACACACACACCCACACACACCCACACACACACACCCACACGGGGTCGCGTCGACTGACGCACGCGGATCGCGCGTTCCGCACAGGGCATGTGGACGCGCCATGGAGCGTGCAAGACTTCGACATGACCGCGCCGCCGCTGCTATCACCACCACCACCGCTATCACCACCACCACCACTACCAACGCAGCAGCAACAACAACAACATCATCAGCAACAACAACATCAGCTGCCGGTCCACGCTGCGTCGTCCCCGCTGCTGCTCCTCGCCCCCGCGGGCGCGTGCCCCACGTGGCGCGCGCTGCCGCCCGCGCGCTGGGACCGCGGCCACGTGTTCGAGTGGGCGGCGTGGCACGTGGAGGGCGCGCGCGCCGACGCGTCGCGCATCCCCGCAGAGGCGCTCGACGTGGACGGCCCCGCGCTGCTCGCCATGAGCCGACGGCGGATGGAGGAGGCCGCCGGCTCGGAGCAGCTGGGCGCGCGCATGCACGCGCACCTCGCCGAGATGGCGCGCGCGTACGCGTGCCAAGAGGACCGCGACCCGAGCGGTGTGTGTGGCCACCCCCTACAACCCCTACCCACAACAACAACAATGCGTGTGCGTGTGTGTTCAATGCGTGTGTGTGTGTGTGTTCTATGCGTGTGTTCAATGCGTGTGTGTGTGTTCGATGCGTGAGTGTGTGTTCAATGCGTGTGTTCAATGCGTGTATGTGTGTTCAATGCGTGTGTGTGTTCAATGCGTGTGTGTGTGTTTAATGCGTGTGTGTGTTCGATGCGTGTGGGTGTGTTCGATGCGTGTGTGCGAATCTTGAGCAGAGCGCCACCCAGCGACACCCCCAGAGGCTGAGCCCCCACGGGCAGCCCCCGCGCAGGCAGAAGGCGTCAAGGCAGAAGCCGCGGACGTGCACTGCGCACAGCGCAAGCACAAGCATGGTGAGGCCTGGCCACCCCCTGGGTCGACTCAGCCTTCAATGAGTGCCCGGTGCGGTGTGTAACAACAACAACCCAACAGCACTGGGGAGACAAAGGCGGCCGGGCGGGGTTGCTGGCCACCAACCCCTCGTGTGCCGTGTACAGGACCCTTCATAATAGGTGCTCGCTGACAGCACTTGCCCCATCAGTCTGTTAAAGGCTACACGAGGGGAGGGGGGGGGTGAAATCTTTACCTTTATACTCATCCTCTTGTCATCGAACCCGCGTCGACCTACCCCCCCACCCCCCTCCGCACCACCACCACCAACTCCACGTTCCTCTGGCCGGGGGACAGGCGGATCCCGGGGTGCGCTGCTCTGGGAGTTCCTGCGGGACCTGCTGCTGGGCCAGGCGGAGGGCGGCGGCGGTGCGGGGCTGCTGCGCTGGGAGGACCGCCAGGCCGGCTCGTTCCGCTTCGTGCGCGCCGGGGACGTCGCCCGCCTCTGGGGGGAACGGAAGCGCAACCCGGGCATGACCTACGAGAAGCTGAGCCGCGCCATGCGGTGAGAGAGCCGCCGGGTTGCGTCCCTACACTGGGGGTGGGGGGTGGTGGGAAGGGTGGGTGGGGGGGGTGGTGGTTGGGGGGGTGGGTGGTGGAATGGGTGGTGGGGAGGGTGGGTGGGGTAGAGGTGGGTGGGGGGGTGGTGGGGAGGGTGGGGGGGTGGTGGGGAGGGTGGTGGGGAGGGTGGGTGGGTGGGGGGAGGGTGGGGGGTGGAGGTGGGTGGGGGGTGGTGGGGAGGGTGGGTGTGGGAGGGAGTCGTTAACCTGCGGCTCTTTGCGGGCAGCTTCTGTGCGGGCATCCGTTTTAAACAACAACAACAAAATACGTGAATCTTAAAGATAGTTTGACGTCAAGATTTATTGATGAAATATGGCATCGAATGGGGTCACTGTGGGATGTCTTGGTGACGACGAAATATGCGACGGTCAGACTGCGTTGTCCATGGAGAACTCAGCGGTGTCGGGAATGAAACGGACGCGGCTTATTCCATCGTGTTTAGCAAACGGCCCGTGGAAGCGGATACCACAGAGCTACTTCTGAGATGCATTCAGGCGACTTCTGATCACGCAACAAGAGGGCAGCACCTCTCACACCCCATTCTGCCATGGCGTGTTGTTGTTGTTTCCTTTCTAAACCGGCAGATAAGAATGAACTCGCAGATTTACTACTGTCATTACAGAATAATGTCTGTGTCCCACGCGTGACGTCATTCCACGTCGACCAGCCTCCCTCATTAATAATCATGACCAGGTGACGTCCTCCAAATGGACACCCCCCCCCGCCACTCGTCCTATCGGCGTTTGCATTGTTTGCTGTTGCAGTAACCTGCTGGGACATCTGTGAAGAATAAGAAGAGCTTCATAGCTCATCGGATTCCCCCTGCTCCAGTCTAAATAAAGATTCTGATCCTCCTCCGTGTGTGCCCCCCCCTACCTCCCGTGCCCCCCACAGCTACTACTACAAGCGCGGCATCCTGGAGCGCGTGGACGGCCGTCGCCTCGTCTATCGCTTTGGCAGCAAATCGAGCGGCTGGAGACCAGACTCGTGACACGTGACTCGTGACACGTGACTTGTGACGCGTGACTCGTGACACGTGACGCGTGACTTGTGACGCGTGACACGTGACTCGTGACGCGGCCTCGACAGCGCCCGCTCGCCCCTGGCGGCTGGAAGCGCGTTCACACTTGGTGGCGGTCCTCGTAGTCGTCGTCGTTTGTTGTTTGTTGTTTTCTGGCCGTCAAACTGCCCCCCCACTCCCCCACCTCCCTGTCCAACCCCTCCTCGTGTTTGTGATACGTTGTGATGTGTGTACTGCTGTATTGGTTGTTGTTTGATTATTTTTTTGTTGTCCACGTCAGTAATGATATCAAACGGTGATATCATTGAAGGTGGTGTAGGAACAATGTTCTGGTTAACCCAGGAGGGTAACGAGCAGAGGCATGGGCGGCTTTGCCATCCCCCCCCCCTCCCTTGACAAACACCCTAAGATTTATTTTAAACAAGTGTATCAAAGAACAAAGACTTCTTTAAAATGGGGCTTGAAACCGTTCCAGGTTCTATTTAAGACGTAATATATTGCAAAGAGGTAACGAACTACGGAGCTGTAGTGGCTGTGAATGACGAATGCGGAGCGCCCGACAGAGACCGTGGGAGTAGCGAGGACGTGGATCGCGGCCAGATGAGCCGCGATCTCTCGCCGCCTCCAGGGTGCGACTGTGAAGAGAGAACTTCAATACTGGGGCTCCACCTGGCCCACTGCCTCATCCCCTGAGCGGCTCATGTCCTTCCTGACATTATCGTTCGAGGCCGACTTGACCTAGGGGAGAGCCAGGACAGATTGAGATCATAGTCACTGGTGTTGACCGTGAGCGGAAATCGAACTCGGGTGGCCCGGTTCGCGCTAAACCCTGTTGCACTACCGATCCCCCTTACATTGCGCGTATATAACACACACACGCATGCATACACATAGACATGCATATCCTACAACCGCCATTCGCCACTAGGTGGCGGTGACGTCACCACGACGCTTGTGCCAGGCTAAGTGCACCTTGAGGCCACGTGAAATGTCGAACGCCCGCTGGCAGGTCACGGGCAGACCCAGGTGCCACGGGTCAACTGAGATGACCGAGATGACTGGTTGATGCACCACATGTGCCCCCTACTGTGCCAACTTGCTGTGCTTTAGCCACCCGGCGCTCCGCTCGTTGTTGAGCGTCGCTCCTCCGCCCTCCGTTGTTGTTGGAGGGCGACTGCCTCCAACTTACCAGTAGCGTCCTTCATGAGCCTCCTCCACAGACGCCGATCTTGACACCGCTGGTACCAGTCATCGGCAAGTCCACTCAGCTCCACGTCCTCCTGTACCACATCACTCCATCTCTTCTCTAGCCCGTGCCGCGCCCGTTTAGCCCCCTCGATCCAGCCGAACAAAAGCTGTTTAGGCATGCGGTGGCTGGACATGCGGGCGACATGACCCAGCCAACGCAGCCTTGACTCCCGGAAGAGCTCACCGATGGGACTTTGCCCATATACATACACAGGCACATGCATACGAGTGGATGATCCTAACGAGCTGAACGACAACTCCGGGTTATAACGACCACTGCTATTCCTGAAGACAAGTCACAGTGCGACTGTGCCCATGCAACCCGAACTATGGAGCCATATCCCAAACCCATAGACACACACACAGACCCATAGACACACACGCATCACAGATATAGACTCATAGAGGTTAAAGACACGCTACAGAGTGCAAATGTGGCCATGCAACTCAAACTGTGGGACTGCATTGTAAACTCAAATCCAGATACATACAACTACAGACACACATCGCGATAAATACTCAAACAGACCCACACAGATGTATTAAAGACAAGCCAGTCGTGATTGTGGCAACGCAACCCAAAACTACGGGACCATATAGTACACAGAGACACACATACTCTTCGTGAATGAAGACAAAGCCACAGTGGTGTGATTGTGGCAACGCATCCCAAGCGACGGACAGTACCACGTGACCCCACTGCGGTCCCCGCTCCTCCAACGGTGGTGAAGGCGTCGGGACAGCAAAACGCCACCGACTCGCTCGGAACCCCGAGGCCCTCGCCGCGAGCAGCTGCAGCAAACATCGACGTCGTCATCGGCGGCGACGTTTCGCTCCCGAACCTGAGCAGAGCAATGTAATCGACGGCGCTTACGAGGAACTTGGAGCACTTTTCGTGCGAACTCTCTGAGCACTGCGGGCGCGTGCAGAACGCAGAACGCGCAGTAGCGGTAACAACGTGGACGCGTAGAAGTGGAAATGAGCCACATAGACCAAGAATTAACATCTGGCGTTCAGTAATAATAATAATAAACAAAGATTATCCGAGTCTCTCTCTCTCGGCCAAATTGGCTTCCGTGTCGTTTCTATATTTTCACTTCGCGATGGTCGGGGGTTCTATGCAATTGTTTTATTTAAATGATTAACGTTAAAAAATCTCCCTTAAGAAAAAATTAAATTCATCTTGCAATATTGTTCATGCACCACTGTAGTTTGTGATATTTTGTTTTTCATTTATTTGTATTGAGTGAATAATAATGATGTCAACTTGAAACGAGCCGTCGGCCTCTGGTATTTGCTCGCTCGTGAACAGTGAGGAGACTCAGGAGGCGCTCGCAGGAACCACAGACGAGTGGGGAGGGGGGGGGGGCTAAAACCACGTGGTGAGCCAACAATTTCCCAAGCTCTGCAGTCCTCTATGTATGAAGGTGTCATTGGCCAGCTGTTTACATGAATAAAACCCCTCCTGTGCCGCGACATTTCACCTCCATCACGGGGAACAACTCCAAAAGAGTGACCACCGCCAGCACCACCACCGCTGGTATCACCCCACCACCGCCACCACAACCACTAATGGACAAAGATCCCCCGAGAAATGAAGTTGTACCCTCTCTGGCAATACAACAGGGGGTGTAAAGATGTGCCAACGCCAAATAGGAACATTTTGCAAGGAATCCAGTCGACATTAACCACGCCCGGTACTTGTGATGAACATGCAAACAAGAAATGCTCCGATAAATATGCCATGGTCTTCGAAACCGACTGGCTTACGCCAGATACAGCCTTCTTCACGGGCTCGTCTCACCAGTGTCAGACCAGAGAACAGGACAAAGACGACGCATATACTGGTAGGAACCTCATGGTTAGACCAGTCCACAAGGGATTATTGTGTCCGTCCGTCGTGCAAGGAGGGGTTGGGTGGGGAGGGAGGGGCTGGGTGGGGAGGGTGGGGAGAGGCTGAGTGAGGAGGGTGGGGCTGGGTGGGGAGAGGCTGGGTGGGGAGGGGCTGGGTGGGGAGGGTGGGGCTGGGTGGGGAGGGACTGGTCACCCCGTGGTGCCCTTATAAAACTCAACGTTTAACCTACTCACGCCGGCTTGTGCCCGCCCTCACAGTCGGGCATATTTGCGGAATACACCACGCCGCCGTTGACCCTGGCCATTGACTGAGCAACCCAACGTTCCTACCAGCTCCCTCCACAGGAATGTTTTATTAATTATCAGAGCATGTTTGCATGTTCACCACAAGTACGTGTGGTTAGTACGGACTTCGGTTCATCGCAAAAGGTTCCTATTTGGCGTTGGCACATCTTAACACCGCCTGTTGTTTTGCCAGAAAGGGTAAAAAGCTATTCTCTTTTTCATACTTTGACACTGGCAAAAAGGTCGCATGCAAAAGATCCCCCGTATAGCCTCAACAGACTGTTGGGGCAAGTGCTGTTAGTGAGCACCTATGAAGGACGGCACGGCACAAGAGGCGGGTGGCCAGCACCACGCCCGGCCACCTTTGTCTCCCCAACGCTGATGTCTGCACACCGCACCAGGTACTTAAGGCTGCGTCGACCTATGGAGGAGGCCCACGACTGCTTTTAGTTGGGTTATGTTCACCGTCTGTTTTCGTTTTATCGAAGGGCGACACTTTAAAAGACAAATTCCACCAGCAAAGTTCACCTCAATTCAACTCCTCCAGCCAATAACAAAGCAAACGGGAGCGCGACGGCAACCCTTCGCGGACACACAACAGCAGACGCACCGCAAAAAAACAGAGTTCAAATTTTAATGCAATCCGACTTTTGCTTTTCCATCATCAACCACATGGGGCCACGAACATAACATCACGTGGGCGCGCGTGTGTGTGCGAGGCAGATGACGATGGAAATCCGTAATTGGCTATAACAAAAAAGACAAGTTGGGGGGGTAGGCCCCAGGCATCGATCACTACCCAAGCTCGAGAAACGGCGACTTTATGTCGAGGGGAGGGGGGGGGGCAGAACCTCAGGAATAAAGAGGGGGAGTGCGGGGGGGGACGTTAGCTGTCTTAACGCAAAGCGTTAAAACCGAGGAGGAGGAAGAAGACGTGTTTGTGCAAGCGAGCGAGAATGTGCGCCCGCATTTTTTCCTCCCCATTTTCTTCACGCACTGTACTTTGTTTGGAACGCAGAGCATGGAAGTATGGGGAGTGCGGGGTGCGGGCGTGTGCGTGCGTGCGCATGTGCGTGCACGGGGAGCGGTAGCGAAGTGGTTAGCGTACTGTGCTACAAACTCAGCGACCACAGTTACGCTCACGGTAAACACCAGTGACGGATATCTTACATCGGTCCTGGGCCTCTTCGGGGTCGACTTGTCCTCAATTGCGTATCCGGTGCGGTGTGTGGACAGGGAGTGGTGCTGGCCAACCACTCCCTCGTGTGCCGTGGCGGCCTTCATAGGTGCTCGCTAACAGCACTTGCCCCAACAATCTTTTACGGCTATACAGGGGACACACACGCGCGCGTGTGTCGGTGTATAAACATGGACAAAGCCTGCCCCCTTTCCTGCTGCTGCTGCTGCCCAAGATTTGATTTACTCTTTGGGGCCAAGCGCTGCTGCTCGGTAATACCTATTAAGGGGAGCACGACACGCGGGTGGGCCACGACGGGTGGGTGGGGGGAAACACTGTGCTCACGGAGCCCTCGCTCTGCGAAAACCCTGCGGCCAAAAGTGAAATCACGCGGCCTTTCGCACACACAAGGGTCACGGGCGATCACACAGCGCTCGCTCGCCTCGCCAGCCACAGTTCCGGCAACCGTACCCGAGGCCGTCAAAACGGGGCGTTTCGCCAACATCGACCGCTCCGATAGTCGAGGTGTCACTTTGTGCGCGAGTGACGCAACGCGCGTCGATGCGTGTGCGTGGCCTCGAAGCGCACCCGGGCCTGGCGCAGGCGACTCGCGGTGACGTCGCCGTCACTCCGTGGCGAGCGGTGGGTGTTGGTCGTTGCGTGAATGTGCGAACGCTTTATTCCGGGGTGTGCATGAGCGTGCGAGTGTGTGCGCAGGGTGCCCAGTAAGGTCACACGACATACCGGCGCCCACCTCCCCCCGCCCCCATGCGATAGCTTGTCGGAGTTGTGCTACGACCGTACGAGTACCCCGCACGTACCGGACTATGCGTGTGTGTGTGTGCGTGTGTGCGTGTGTGCGGTTACGCGTGCATGTGGAAGCTACTGCAGCAAGGCTTTGATGTCCTGTCGCTCGGCTGCTTCAAGCGGACTGAGTCCATCTGGCCCTCGGAATGATTTGTCTGCACCCTAGGGATTGGGGGGAGATACGAGGTGAGAGTGAAGGAAATTGGCATTAAAACAGGTGACAAGATGTTCAAACACCAAACCAGATACCCATTGTACTTGTGGCAAAAAACATGCTCTAATAATACATGGCATTGTCTTCGAAACTGATTGGCCTACACCAGAGACGGCTTTCTCAGTGGTGAACTGGATGCCTGTACTTAGCCGTCTACAGTTTTACACTCCCTCCCACAGGGGTCGATTGGGCCGCAGGGGATTGGGACGACGACGACAACAATGGTGGGAGATTGAGAGAGGGGCCGGAGGCGGTCATTACAAAAAACAAAGGCATTCAGATGGCCGCAGCGAGTGAGAAGGCAATTAAAATTAAGAGGTGGTACATTTTAATTGGGCACCAAAGAGGCCACCGGATTCAATCGTTAATGTCGGGACAAAACAAAAATCCCAGCTGCCGAAATTGATTTGTCGGGCAGCTGGCACGGTGCAACTTTGAGCACAATCTAAAAGCGTCGTGCATTCACTCAGCTCTGTTGTCAGCGGCGCACAAGGCAAAACCCATGGCAAAAAACTCAACACAATCATTATTAATACCCCTGCAGCCCTATAAGTAGAAAAAAATATATAATGGGGAACGACGTTTAAGGCAATGGTCCTTCTCGAGCGCACGATTGAGCCCCGTAACCTCTCATGACAGTTGTAATCTGCCAAACTTCTTAACAAATTTGTCCAAGCACTTTCTGAGCGCTGGGTCGTCGTCCCCCAGGTTACGGGGGGGGGGGGGGGGGGGGGTGCCGGCAAGCCAGGAGACGGCATTACCCGAGCACGGTTGGCTACGTACAGGTGCGAAAGTTCCACGTACATACACACATCACACGTACATACACACATCGCACGCATGGCGGTACCTTCGAGAGGAGGAAGCTCACGCAGCTGGTGTGCCCCTCGTAAATGGAGGCGAGGAGAGGCGTGAGTCCGTGCTTATCCACCGCCTGCACACACCTCCGACGTGCGTGCGTCACAACATCACCGCACCCCCTCGCCCGATTAGCGCGGTTGGCTACGTACGGTGCGAAAGACGTTCCACGTACACGCAATCGATGCGCGCGTGTTCACTGCGTGCATGTGTTCACTGTGTGTATGTGCGTGTGTTCACTGCGTGCATGTGTTCACTGTGTGCATGTGCGTGCGTTCACTGTGTGCATGTGCGTGTGTTCACTGCGTGCATGTGCGCGTGTTCGATTAGTACGTGCGTGTTCAATGCGTGTGCTCAATGCGCATCGCAACACCACCGCACCCGCGATTAGCGCGGTGGCTACGTACGTCGAGAAGGTAGTTCGGCGTACGTACGCCCGCGCTAGCCTGACACGGAGCACGCGCGTACAAAACCGCGATTCCCATCTTGGCAATTTAACTCTCTCCTTTCTGCCCCTGTGCACCCGAACGACATTTACCTTTTGCAATGACGAACTGATTTAATGGATTATCCAACTTAATTTCCGGTTGACTGGTTGAATGAGCCATTGATTTACTTTATAATGAGTTCACTGTTTAATTTAATTGCCTCTCCGGCTAGATGACCGGTAAATTAACTTTGCATCTTTAGAACAAAATGATTGATTGTGTGTGTATGTATGACTAACCAGAACCACTGGACTTATTTATTTACTGGGACAGAAATTTCTTTAAATTGACTAAATCACTGCTGCATCTGTTTACCGACTGGACAATGATTGGTCGACTCAAAATCTCACGGTGTGACGGAATTATTGATGAACAAATTACCGAATGATTGCGTGAGAATGTGATCGACTGGTAATGAACTTGCGAACCCCTGACGAGAGAAACTGGATGACAGATTGATTTGACTAAATGGATCAAATATTATTAATATACGGGCTCACAATGTAACTGAAAGACTGGCTCACAAGCTAGGTGATAGATGAACTTAATCTTTAGAGGTATGCGCATCGGACAATCGTATGATTAACACCGAGTAATTGTGTGACCGAATGAAGACTTTAATACTGGGTAATGAAACACATTTTCTGACAGTTGCTGCTGCTGCATTGGCAGTGGTGGCACAAACACAATAGACCAAATATTCACGTTCGTCAATGATGCTGCATCCATAAATGGCAATAAAAATATATTTAATAGGACACAATATGTCCTTCTCGTGTGCTATGAAGAAGAGGCCATAAAGTTTTTGGGTTAGATCGCGTACCTATAGAAATGTGTCGTTAAACCCGCCACCACCCGACACACCAACTAGTAAGGGTTGTCATGTAAACAGAACGTGCCAATTCGTCACATCATTTACAATCTAAGTACCGTGACGTTTCGCCAGTGATTACACCTAGCCTCATCAGGCGACAGCCAGATTTGTGGAGAAGTCCACCTGTTTCGTTCCTTATCTAGAGGCGTAGATGTGGTGACCACGCTTCTGCGCTCAAGTCAACGAACATGATGCATGCGCATTATGCGAGCCCATTGAGCTTGTCCTTCCTGTCCATTGTGTATTAAATAGCCGTACCAAAGGTAATCCCTATTGAAGTATGGTGGCCTGCATAGGCATGCATTTAAACAAGAGGCCATTGCCCATAACGTCACCTATGATATCTTATATTTGAGGGAGCGTCACTGGAAGAGTGTCGCCGGCCGGGGCCGACGCGTCGCCGGTGGGGCCGACTCGCCGGAAGGCCGACGGCGCGACAAACGGAGCGTGGGACGGACGCCGCCTTACGTTGACGTCCGCGCCGTTGGACAGCAGGAACTTGAGAATGTCAAGCTGCCCGCTGTCTGCCGCGTAGTGAAGGGGCCGCCTCCCGGCCTCCAGCAGCCGGTTCACATCCGCACCCTGCAGCGCAGACAAACAGCGCCCGCGTGGCCTTAACAGGCTGGTCGGGGCAAAGTGCTGTCGGCGAGTTTCACAGATGAGGGCCGCCACGGCACGCGAGGTGGTGGGTGGTCGGCACCACGCCCGGCCGCCTTGGTCTCCCCAGTGGCGATGTTTACACACCACACCAGGTACTCATTTGAGGCCGAGTCGATCTAGGAGAGGCTCAGAAACGTTTCAGATAATCATCACTGGTGTTGACGATGCACACACACACACGCCCACGTAGACAAACAACCGCTTTTGTCCACCAATCTGTTAAGACCAGGGTGTCAAACAGGCCATGCTTACGTCAGTTCATTTTACAACCGGTGCAGCACACGGGCGGGCACCGAGTGCAACGTGGCACAGTCGATGCACGCAAGTGCCTGCTGCACCCTACGCTGCAATTAACAGTGATATTATAATACGTTACAGTCAGCCTCAAGTCATTCGTGTATAGTTGTAATCATGCTGCTATTAGCATCGCCGTTAACCTCAACAACTGCAGGTTATTTATGCCCAATTATCCTCGCACCTCTGATTAGCACGGTTGGCTACGTACGGTGCGGAAGAAGTGCAACACACAAACACACAATTATTCAGATTCCTATATTACATCATCTCATTTTCTCTATCCCACGCTGCAGTGTCATTTCCCCTTCGCAATCAAGGGGCCCCGCCATCAATTGGCTCGCCGTTGCGCTTTCAATACAACCAGCCCCCCCCCCGTCTCCCTGCCTGACACATCGTGCATGGACACCGGCTCGGTCACAGACGAAGAGACAACGGGTCGGGCACAGATGGAGAGAAAGTGCAACCGCAGGTCGTCTCAAACGATGCGTTCAGAACCAAAAACCAGGTTAGAGTGAGCGCCATCAATGGCATAAACCTATAAATAGCGACAGATTTTTTTTTTTTTACAGCCGTTTGTCACGCAGTAAAATCAAAGCTGCTAAAGCTCTCTCTGCCAACAGCTGGCCCCACGCACACACAACACCTCTTCAGAGGCCCTCTCAACCGATGAGCTGGACACTGCGCTCACAGACACCAAGTCTGGGAAGGCCACCGGTATTAAACTAGAATATTAAACTTTTTTTATTTTACCAGGTAAGGCCCACTGAGCTATATAGCTCTTTTTCAGAAGCGACCTGGCTATTACAACATGATAGCTCACACGAAGTGGCTAATCACGTGGAAATGAACAGACAAATACTCTAAATGCACGTTGCTTCTAAATGTGGAGGGAAAAACTGGAGGACCCGGAAAATGTTTACACGACCACGGGGAGAACATGCACACTCCAAATAGACAGCAGCAGCAGGCGTCAGGGTTGGGATCAAACCCACGACCTCCTGCATACCAGGCGAGCTAGTTAACATCTCCTAGCCACTGTATTGACGGCAAGCGCCCAAAATTGCCACCGGTCTGTTGGGTCATCAAGATAGCTTGACGACAACGCCTCGTGCCGGCCAACGCAAGTCGATGGACGAGGGATTCTCACACGCGACATCCGCACATGGACAGGTGTCACGTTGCTTGCTGGGCACGCGATAATTGATTTCGTGGACCGCCAGAATTTATACGCATGTTTGGAAAAACCCTGCCACAAAGGGTTTGGATCTCTCTCCATCGACAATCAACACCCCCCCTGACCCCGCAAGAATGGAACGCCCCAAAGTGCAACTCGTAAAACAACCTGGTATTTGCAGCCTCCGGCAGCAGGTGGGACAAGTTGGGGTGAGATAAACCTGTGTAGTTGGCAGGTACACGTAATTTAAGACGCCACTCATTGTTCTGACCCGTGGACAATGCGTGCGGATTGTGTTACTTACGTCTGCCACACCCGGCATGGGGAAATTAGCTCGACACGGGGGGAATCGCCGGCAGTCCGTGTGCTACCAATGCCACCTGTCACATTGATACATTGCGATGTTACTTCTAAGACTCGCAAACCATGACAAAATGTGTACACAAGAAGAACTTGCTTGCTTTGTCTGCTCAATGCCTGCTCTGCGTGTGCGGGCTCACAAGGGATTTCCTAATATTCCGTTCGCTAAAGATCATGGCGGATTCCTGTATAGGTTGGTTTACGTGAATAAATAAAACGAATCTTCACTGTGGGGAAGGACGGGTTTTGTGTTTATAGGGACTCCTTTACTTACGAACGAGGTAGGTGCTCGAGAGCTGTCTCTGGTGTACGCATATATTACCAGAGTATGTTTGTGAGCATGTTCACAACAAGTACGTGTGGTTAGTGCGGACTTGATTCCTTGCAAAAAGGTTCCTATTTGGTGTTTGAACATCTGAAAACCCCCTGTTTTATTGCCAGAAAGGGCAAAACCTATTCTTATTTTTCATACCGTGACACAGGCAAAAAAAGAGTCCCACGATACATTTGATTAAATTTCTCGAAGAGGAATGTTGTTCGTCATGATCCAGTCACCCCCAGCCCTGCCCACAGTTGTCCCCACCCACCACTACCTACTACTGCAAACAAACACAAAGATCCCCCGTATAGCTTTCACAGACTATTGGGGTAAGTGGTGTTATAGCAAGCAGCACTCGTGAAGGGCAGAACGACACACGTTAGAAGACAAAGTGCGATTAAAATGATTTACATGTCTTCGTCTTGTAAAACCGACTCTGTGCATCAATTCCCACAGCCCTCGGGTTGCAGCATCGTAAATGTTCCACTCGCTATCTTAGCGACCGCCTCTGACCCTTGGGTAATAATCAACTTTTGCTCTTAAAACAACCGAACATTTGTAGACAACGGTGAAACGTGGCTCTGAAAGCTGAGGCAGCGTGGCCGAGATCCTCCTGCATTTCAATCCGAGCAGCCCCCAGTGATTGAACTGGGTTCTCAAGAGCGGGGATTTTGCCCATCACCGCGGCTTTTTCCCACTCGTTTTTCTTATTACACTTGTGAACAGCGCACAAATACAGACGCCTCTTCCCCACATCACCATATCTTAGCCCAGAGTAGTTCCCTTTGGAAGTGTGCAGCTATCATTTGCCTAGGACGAGCTTTCACCGTGCGCAATCCACACCGGAGTGATCGACGCGGTCCTGCGGACTTTCCTGGGTGACCTGAACGAAGCGGTTACCAGCGTTCATTTCGCCGCGGCAAAAGCTTGGCCGTTTGGGCGTTCTCCACCTCGCGTGCTGTCGGTATTCTTTACCGGCACTCCCTTCGCCTTCCATATGCAAAAAAATAACTACTTAGGACAAAAAGGAAGTTGCCAAACATTCCAGGCATGAGGATACAACTGAAAAACAAGGTCTTGCGGGACTCCCTTGGGCGAGGCTTCCCAGAGTAAACATTAGCACGGATCTTGCTCAGCAAAATGTCCCACTATGCCCCCCCCTACCCTCTTACCTGCGTTTGCCATGGCTCTCTATCAGCTAACACGGCCATTACACGAACACCCTTATAAATAAACGGGGAATGGATTAGGCCCACCACCTCCTGCCAGCCCCCCCTTATGGGATATATGCAAGGTACATACATACGAGAGAGGGAGCATGGTAAAAGTGTAAGGTGTCGTACTTTCGTGCATCAAATGTCTAGTAAGGGCAAAGAGTGGTATTACGCAACGCTGGAAAATCCCACCTCTGAGGATAATTGTACCAAGAAGCAGGAAGCAAGTGCTAAAAGCCCTCCTAAGTTTACGAATCATTTACAGAATGATAGACAGTTTCATTTATTGTCAATTATGTTCAAGTTGATTGTGGTGAACAAGGCGAGAAGTCAATGCCGGGATGAGATTGCCCTGCGTCAAAGGTTGACAAAAAGCAAAATAAATAAAGTACAGCAACTGTTGTTGATAACCAGAATTGTGAGGTTTTTGGTACACTAAAAAAATGAATGAAAACAATTAATTAAAGATAACACCCATGAAAAAGACATAAAAATCAGCCATGCTAAGAACAGGTACACTATAAACTCTTTTAAAATATAGATTTAACCAGGTAAGGCCCCACTGAACTATAGGGAACTTATTCTTTGGGTCTTTCGGTAAAGTCAAAGAAAATTACAAAAAAATAACCAAAAAAAGTGTTCGTCATCAGGAAGAGCTCTTCCTGATCGCTTGTGTTGCGATCAAAACGTCGTAGTTTTTGTTATTTTTTGTTAACCCATCTACGTGACTTTACTGAAAGACCCAAAGAATATGAATTCCTGCAGTCACGAAAGCTTTAAGTCAAGATTCATAGAGCACTTTTTCAGAAGCGACCTGGCCTCAAATTCGATTCTATTTTGCATTTGTAAAGCGCCTTTCACCAAAGGCGCTTGACAATGCTTGCCGACTATGTGAGCTGAAATGATAGCTCAACGATGTGGCTTATCATCCCGTAACAAATGTAACAACGGCCAAACACACCAGGGCGCAGGCTAAACGGGGTTGTTCTCCAACGCAAGGTTGCAGCTTCATTATCGAGCAGGGTGACTGAAATTACGCGATGTCTCTGCATTGATGATACATTCATGTGGATGTAAAAACATAGATCACATTCATCAATAACTGTGCTCCGAAGCACGGGGATTGCCCAAAATGTCACGGACGACATCGCTTCTCGTTTCGTGGCAGTGTTCATTGACAAGCGCGTCGAGGTTTTTGTTGTTTGTGCCCCACTACCAACGAAAAATCGCAAAATATTGAACGCGAATGTGTGGGAGTAGCATCACTCGCTGGGGGCCAACATAATTCACCATCTCGCTTTTAGTAAATAGATTTTTTTCACTTCTGGAACTATTGGCAGTAGTCCAGAACATGTGGATTATGATCATCTCAAAATAAGAAATGTGTTTACGCTGCGAGGAATTTAATCACTGCTCCATTTCACACACGCGGGTCGCTGCCAGAAAACGAGTTGACCTGTTTCCCCACGCTGCTGCCATCTGCCCCAATGTAGTGAAAGAGGAGAGTGGTGGTGAGACATGAGAGTATTCATTAACAGTAGACCCCTCGTAGGTGTAA